ATCCTCCTGCCGCAGCCTCCCGAGCCCCTGGGATCAGAGGTGCCATGGCCCTGGCTCTCTGTCTTTCTAAGGGTGTATCCATAATGTGAAAACATACTGTTCCTGAAACATCTGCAATGCTATTTGCCAACTTCTGGTTTTAAAAGTAAGAGAACTTGCTAGAAGCTCAATGGAGAAGAATCACACGTACAAACGACCTAGTGGCTTACCTCTTCAGAGCTCCTGCTGGCTGAAGGCACCTGATAGACCAGGCAGTGCAAGGGGTTGTGCAGGACCCCGCCCTGCAGAGGCAAAGTCACACTTCCGGCACGGACATCCAGCACTGGGCTCCACACAGCCCAGCGGACCGCACGCATGCACGCCAAGCTGGACAAGGAAGAGGCCACAGCTGCCTGGAGGGGAAAAGGGCCCACGACAGGGTTAGCAGAGCCTGGCGGGTCAGCCCCAGTGCTGCCACGCAGGGTCACTCCAAGCTGTGTGCAGCACGCAACGGGCCCACCCACGCCATTCTACACAGGAGGGACCGACACAGGCGGATGCAGCACCCACAGGACCAGCCCACCCAGGGGCCCGCCACCCGGGCAGGACCTGCCCCCAGCCAGCCTCCTCCTTTGACTCGAGCCAACACCGACTTCCCTCTTGAAGATCCCATGAGGACCTGCCTGCAGGTCTGCGAACACTCGATACTTCTCCAGACTCTCTTCAGATCCAACCAACAAAAACAGCACTTGGTGTTAGAGATTAAAAAAACTCTCAGAAATACTCCAGGCCGCACTGCCTGCTCAAGCCACCACCATCGCACACAGGTTCTTCAGCAAAGCTTTGGCTTAAAATGGCACATTTCATAGATGTGACTTGACATGAAACTGGGAAGTCAGTCAGGTCCAATTTTAGGAATTGACGCTTCTTTTACTTTCTCTGTCCTTTGTCAGATGAAAGAAATGAGGACCCTGAGGAAACTCCAGGGTTAGCAACCACATTTATAGAAAGTCACCTTCACAAAGATGGTTTCAGGGCTGGGTTCAGCAAAATGCTTTGAAGTTCCCACTTTTATGCATTTATTTTTTTAAAAAAAATAAGAATACCGCTGAGCCCCAGGTCTTCACTGGGTGCTGGGACATGGCACAGCCCCAGCAATGAGCCTTGGAGTGCACCAGCTAGCAACTGAGGCTCTGACTGGGGATGCGGCAGGCTCCCTTGGTAGATGGAGCATATCCAGATGCCTGGCCCAGAGCTCTGGGGTGTCCCCAGAGGAGCTTAACCACTGCCAGTGCAAGAACCCAACCAAGGCAGGGCCACACAAGGGGCAGCCTGGGACAGGGCTCCCCCTCTTGGTGAGAAAGGGAAACTGGGGTGAGTAAAGCATCGGCCACTAGGTAAGCAGACGCACTCACTGCACTGGGGCCAACGGAGATCCCACACTCACGCCAAAAGTCCTGTGGCTGGATTCCTGGCATGGATAGAGGCCTGAATGGGTTAAACCACTGCCCGGCTCATGAACCAGCCAGTGTGAACACAGACAAGGAGACCAAACAGCATCTTCTAACTATTCCTTGCCAAATGACATCCCGTCCTATTAAGTCCTTGCTATGGTTTGGATATGAGGTGTCCCCCAGAAATTCACAGGTGAGACAATGCAAGAAAGTTTACAGAAGAAATAACTGGGCTACATCCTTAACCTAATCAGTGAATCCATCCCTGATGTGATTAACTGAGTGGTAACTGGAGGCAGGTGGGGAGTGGCTAGAGAAAATGGTTCACTGGGGACGGGACTATGGGGTGTATATTTTGTATCTGGAGAGCGGAGTCTGCCTGCTTCCTGATCATGTGAGCTGCTTCCCTCTGCCACACTCTTCCACCATGATAGAATAGAACTGGCTGTATGGGCTGAGACCACTAAAACCGTGAACCCTTAAATAAACTTCTCCTCCTCCACAGGTGTTCTGGCCGGGTCCTCTTAGTCACAGCAACAAAAAACCTAAAACAATCCTTTACGTCCATGATAGAAAAAAATCCAGAACCGGCATCTTGTTTTATTACTCTTTCATCCCACACAGCCGGCCCTTGAACCATCCACTCCAGCAAGACCCAGGCTGATCCTTCACCAGACCCACATTTTAGACTGCCAGGTAGAACACGGTCACATGCAAGCCGCTATAATGTGGACAGGGGGACTTTAGTCCCTGGCGATAGAAGGAGTTAAAACCCACATCCTGGAATCACAGAGAGTCAGAAAACCAAGAAGCCAGTGCATGTGACCTTGCCACTCTCAACCTCTGTCAAGTACAAACAGCATCTGTCTGAACCTCTGATGGAGTAGCAGATCACCAAAGGGTCCCAAGCAACCACAGGGTGTCAACAAAGCTAGTGTCAATCGACCGCCTTTTAAAAACAAAATCACTATAAACTTATTAGGAAACCTGGTCACTACAACACTCTCAGGGTTCAATGATGTCCAAACTGCTCTGGTAAACGGTCACCTGAAAAACGAAAGTTTATGTCAGGATGAAAATGAACACACCAGGTTTCCATGCCGTCCACGCAACTCCTTCCATTTCCCTTCCTAAAACAGGCGATTCCCAGGTCTGATTTTACAATTTCATGGTTTTCTTTGGGTGGTTTTGTTTTTCTTTGTTTTCAACTGACACAAATCTCTGCGTGTGCAGTACCTATCAGCTACGTAAGAACCCATTTTTCTTCATTTTTATCTTAAATAGGTTTAACAAAAAGAGATGGCTACTGTCACGCTCTAGGACCTCGAGGGGACACCTGGGCTGGATTAGCCAATGCACCTGCCAAGGATTAGCCTGAGGTGGCCCACAGAGGCACTACAGCTGGGAGCCTCCCTGCCGCCCACTGGCCCCAGGTCCATCCAGCAGCAGGTACTCAACAGGCTCCTCTTCTCAGTGAGTTCTGGGGTCAGGATTAGGTCAGCTAGCCAGGCATGTGACACACAGGAGGCTGAGGAAGAAGGGTCATTTGAGCCCAGGGCCTCAGCCCAGCCTGAGCAACACAGCCCGCAGATGATTAAATCATTCCTTGTCCTGCCCAACTCAGATTTGAATCTATGCAAACTAAAAAGAAAAGTCCAAAACACATTGAATCATCCCCATTTGGACTTTTAACTGTGATAAACATGATGCAAAATGCCAAAGGCATACACTGTGTTACGAGCCAGGTCTTGCCAATGGAGCAGAAATACCAGCAAAGCCACAGACAGAACACAGACACTGGTCTTTGGGAGTCCCTGTGGTGGGCTGAGTAGTAGTTCCCCAAAAGACCCGTGTCCTCCCTAATCCCCACAACCTGTGCCTGTGACTGTACTTGGAACAAGGGTCTCTGCAGATGCAGTTAATCAACACAAGATGAGATCACCCCTGAGTACCAAGGTTGGCCCTAAACCCGATGGCAAGTGTCCCAGTAAGAGCAGGGCAGACAGGCTTGATCGGGAGCCAGAGGGAGGCATGTGGGGAAGAGAGCCACACGCTGACAGCGAGGAGACGGCAGCACGGCGACAGGCCAAGCACCAACCTGCAAGAGCCAGGAGCCCCGGCCCAGAGCTCTGGAGGAAGGGACCTGCGGCACCTCGATTCTGGCCCAGGGGACTGCTTTTAAGTCTGCAGCCTCCAGAACTGTGAGAATAAACTCTGTGGTTCTACACCAGCCATCAGTGGTACTGTGTAGGACAGCCCCAGGGAACTCATGGTCCCCTATGGTGACAGGCTAGAACTTCATGCCACTTCATGGGCTTTATTTCCTTTAGATTTCCAGCAAGGGCTGCCCAGGTCATCATACCACTGAGTCTGGGCACCATCCTGCTGGGCACACAGAGAATGCAGAGCAGAAGGGAGATGGCATCCTGCCTGGGCAAAAGGGGAGGGCCTGCCCACCCAGCCCACCCAGCCCTCAACTCACAGCTGCTGAGGCCACTTCCAGAGGCAGGGGGGACAGAGCCCTGACGAGCTAAGCACACAGGGCGCCTGGCTGAACACAGGTTAAAAAGAAAAACTGCCGGGCAGAAGTGTCTCTGTGTTCCCAGCATCACAGACCACAGAAGGGGGACAAAACAAAGAGGAGAGAGCCACGTACAGGCTCCTAACAGACCAGGAGCAGACAGGCTGCGGCAGACCCCAGCTAACACTGGCTCCTGGTCTTGGTGGAAGAGGACAGGCCTCCAGGCTGACCATCAGCACCGCCCTCTGCACCCACGAGCCCATGTAGCCCAAAGCTACCAACCGCACCCGGAGGATGGCTGAGACCCATCCAGGGACACAAACCAGGAGCAGAGGCAGGAGGTGGAGCCCAGAGCCCAGTACCGCAGGATGCTGGGCCTGCAGGAGCACGAAGGGCTGGAGGACCCAGCTCGCAGACAGAGGCCGAGTCCCAGCACCTCCTCAGGCAACTTGTTCTCTAGCATTCTCCAAAAGGGACACCGGGATTCTGGCCACTGAGGCGAAACCCGCCCAGGTGAAGTGTGCAGAGGGAGGATGGTGCGTCTGCACCTGGCCTCTGCTTTCCTGCCGGTCCTCCAGCAGAGGCCATGGGACAGGCACCAGCAGGTCAAGGGGCAACCGCATCCAAGTCAGAGGTGCGTAAACGTGGCAGCTGCTTCTGGCTAAGGTCCTTCACGCCATCCTCCGTAGAAAAGGAAACCCAACAGCCCAGAGCTGATGTCACTTGGTCTCCTGTGTGGCACAGTACTTGCAGAGTTGTGTGAAGGCACAGCCATCACTTAACAGGCACCGGTTCCAGTTCTCTCAGCAGGGCACGGCAGCCTTTTTAGTTACGAACTTGCTCAAGGAAAGAAAGCTCTGCACCCTGGGGCGGCTCTTCATGCCAAAGGGTTCGCAAAACATGGCCTCTTTTCAACACACTGTCACACCCACAATGACTGACAGAAGCAACACTGGCACTGAGTAGGGGACGCAGCCTGGGAGGTGAACGGGCCCACAGCCTCTGACCCAGAGGGACAGAGTCAGCCAGAGGCCACAAAGGGACACCACGGGGCTTGTCTCCGCTTGCCCTACAGAGTGCGCTCTGCCTGGTCCTGCTCCCTCCTGCCCCACCCCAACTAGGTCCTACAAATCCCTGGCTGCTGGGCTCAGGTGTGAGGCCTGACGTCCACTCCTGTGGGCACTGCACCCTCTGGAGCCTGGCTTGGAGCAGCACTGCCTCCTGGGCCACACAGTAGGGCAACAGAGCTCCATCCTCTGTGCCAGTGACTACTCCAGGAAAGGGACTCTTAGTGAGCTACCTCCAAAGACCTTAGGGGAAGTGGCCCTCTGTCTTAGGGTCACCAGCTGGGAAGGAGGTCAGCTGAGCAAGCAGAGCTGTCCACAGCCCCCACCCCTGCACCCAGCCAGGCCAGCAGAGAAGAGGCCCACACAGGCAG